CTTAAGATGGTCTCTAAATTCAGGTGAGATATATTCAAAGTTATACTTTTTGGCTCTTGTGGACTTGTTTGAATTTTTTTCAGCTTCAGCCTGAACTTACATTATGAGCAATTGATGGCCTGTTTCACAGTCTGCCCCTGGCCTTCATTACACTGATGATATGGAGCTTTTCCACAATCTCTTCCCACAGATGTAGTCAATTTGATTCCTGTGTATTCTATCTGGTGAGGTCCATGTGTAAAGTTACCCTTTTTGGTTGTTTAAAAAGGTATTTGCAATGTGTAAGTCATTTTGTTGTTGTTGAGTGCCGTCGAGTTAGTTCTGACCCATAGCGACCCTGTTTATGAGAAACAGCTGATGCCTTTGAGCTGCTGACCTTGTGTCTCAAACTGACCTTGAAGTCCGGCGCTTATCCTACAATGCCGCAACAGGAATCCTGAATAAGTCATTAGTCTTGCAAAATTCTATCATGTGATCGTCATCATTTTTATCACCAAGGCCATATTTTCCAACTACTAATCCTTCCTCTTTGTTTCCAACCTTTGCATTCCAATCACCAGTAATGATCAATACATCTTGATTGCAAGTTTGATCAATTTCTAACTGAAAGAATGGTTGTTTGTTGTTGTTGTTGAGTGCCATCGAGTCGATCCCAACTCATAGCAACCCTGTAGTGTTTCCAAGGAGTGGCTGGTGGGCTTGAATCACTGATCTTACAGTTCAAACCAACCTTGCAGTCCATCGTATGAGCCCACATCGCCACACCAGGACTCCAGAGAAGTAGGTAGATTGCCTCAGCTTCTTCATCAGCTTTAGTGATTGGTGCATCAATTTGATTTATAGTAGTATTCCCTGGTCTTCCTTGTAGTTGTATAGATATTATTCTATCACAGGTAACACTGTACTTCAAGACAGATCTCGAAATGTTCTTTTTGACGATGAATGCTATGCCATTACTGTTAAAGTTGTTATTCCTGGCATGCTAAACCATGTGGTTGTCAGATTAAAAATGACCAATACCAGTCCATTTCAGTTCTCTGTTGCCTAACATGGAGTCCTGGTGTGGCACTGTGGGATACAGCACTGGACAAGAAGGTTGGTGGTTCAAACTCACCAGCCACTCCTTGGAAACCTGTACAGGGCAATTATGAGTTGGAATCGACTCTATAGCACTTAACAACCATGCCTAAGATCATCGATATGTATGCGTTCCATTTCATTTTTGACATCTTCCAATTTTCCTAGATTAATATTTTGTACATTCCATGTTCTGATTATTAATGGATATTTGTAGCTGTTTTTTCTCATTTTGAGTTGTGCCCCATCAGCAAATGAAGGTCCCCAAAGCTTTACTCCATTCGTGTCATCCTAGTTAACTCTACTTTGAGGGGGCAGCTCTTCTCCAGTACTATTCTGATTGCCTTCCAACCTGAGGGGCTCACCTTCCGTCACTCTCTCTGACAATATTCTGGTGTTCTTCACCATGTTTTCTTCTTCTGGCCCTAGATCCGACAGTGTTTTGCTACTATTCGTAAGGGTTTCGGCGGCTACGTATTCAGAAACAGTCCGCCTCTTCTGCATCCTGTCTGTCTTAGTCTGGAAGCCCAGCTGAAACCTGTCCACCACAAAGGCCCCTGCTGGTATTTCAATAGCTTCTAGTATCACAGCAACACACAAGTCACCACAGTACGACACACTGACAGACGAGCATTGATGGTTGTTGTTAAGGACCGTCAGCTTGGCTGTGAGCCTGGACAGGGCAGCTGAGGCAGCCGATCTTCACGGAGCAGAAAGCTTCATGCAGCAGGTGGTGGGTTTGCACTGTCAGCTTTGTGGGTAGCAGTCCAGAGCTTATCCTAGAGTCCACCAGTGCCCCACCTGCACCTGTACCCCTATGTATACAGCACATTTTACACTGTGCTGGGCTCAATCAGGTCCTACCTACACCCCTGCACCCCAGAAACTGTGCCCAGGACAGACATACACACTCAAACATACTCACACGCAAGGGCGGCCCAGTTGTGAAGACACCCCCACTCCTCCCCATTGGGCATATGGCAACTGCCAGGGAGGCACACTCATGCCGAGCCACAAATACACACATCTACAGACACCTACATCCATACCTGTGCCCACACCTGTACCCAGCCTATTCCATATCTGCCCCCATGCCTATGCCCACACCTGGACCAAGCCTATTTCTATACCTATTCCCACACCTATGCCTGCACCTGGACCCACACTTATTGCATACCTGTTGACATACCTATACTCATATCTGTTCCCATATATATGCCCACACCTGTATCCACTTTATTCCATACCTGTATCCATCCTATTTCCATGTTTATTCCCCCACATGGGCCCATCCTGTTCCTGTACATACATCCATACCTGTTCCCAGGTGTATGCCCACACCCAAACCCACACCTGTCTCTCTACTGCTCTGCACACCTATTCCCACACCTGGAGTACCTATGAGAATGACAACCTCACGATCTGCCGCGTCAGGGATGCACACGACCACACTGCCATCAATGTGTAATCAATACCCTCCACTCTGCAGACGTGTTCCTATGCCCTCCTGTGTCCTCCCGAGACAACAGGAAGTCACTATGCAGCCACAGCCACCGCTCCCCAGCCCCCGCTGCTCTCTGAGGACCACAGAGCGACTCCCATGTTTGAGGACAAGTCCACGTAACCCATTAACAATCTGCAGAATCACTGGGCCACATGGCAGAGCTCCCCTGAGCCACAGCACTCCTCCCCGCCTCCCCTTCCTCCTCTGCTCCATACGGACTCCAGCCAAGGGGTTACTGTCACCCAGGCCCTCATCTCTCCAGACCTCACATCCCAGTTTCAACAGCATTGGGTGGACAGGTCAGCGACGGCTCCCAGGGACAGGGAAGAGGAGGGCCAGGGTGCTGGGGCCCACTGAACACTGAACACAAGATGGCCCCAGGCCATCTTGTCCTGTCCTCCCCCAGCAGACCAGGACACTAGCCCAGAATTGCCTCAGTGAACCCTCGATAAACACTGAGCACTACTCGAGTTTCTTTAAATAAGGTCTGTCATCCCGTCTCCCGCCCAAATTTCCCAACAGCCCAGGGACGTAGGAACGCAAGTGTTATCTCCCCACTTCACTGATGGAGAGACTGAGGCCCAGAGGTGCTTTGGACCCGATTATGCCTACGGTGATTATAGTAAGTTGTCACACTAGCTACGTCCTACCTCTCAGTTGTCAGGGACAGGGAACTTCGCAAACACGCCTTCCGCCAAGTCTGCATACTCATTGCAGAGGTGTAGGAACAGGTAGCGGAGTAGGGTGGGTACAGGTAGGAAAATCTGTCTCGGAATAGATGTGGGCACAGATGTGGGCAGAAGGATGGGAGCAGATGTGGGAATCACTGTAGGAAGAGGACTGGGAATAGGTATAGAAACAGGTGTGGGCACAGGTATGGATACAGCCATTGAAACAGGTATGGGAATCAGTGTGGGCACAGGTGTGGGCACAGGTATGGATACAGCCATTGAAATAGGTATGGGAATCAGTGTGGGCACAGGTGTGGGCACAGGTATGGGAAGAGGATTGGCTGAGGTTTGGACATAAGTAAAGGATGACCATTTCAGAGTCCTGGACTCTGGGCCATGTCAGCCTTTCATGTCACTGGGGTGGCTGCACAATGTTGGGGAAGGACCAGGAATCTGCAGTAGAGGCTTGAGTTCCACACTGGCTGGGCAACCCTGGGCCAGTTACTTAACCTCTCTGGGCCCTACAGCACCAACCAATGACATGAGGTAGGTGAGTCATAACTGCTCCAAGACATATAAAATGCCTAAAGTAGCCTGGGGGCTTCTTAAGAGGGAGGGTGGTCTCCGGGTCCCTGCCTGGGACATTCTGCTCCAGCTCAGCTACACTGTCCTGGCTAAATACGCCAAACACGTCCTCACACTCATTGCTGGTGGGAAGATCAAATGGTGCAGCAAATGTGGGAAATAGGACAGTGTTTCCTTGAAAGGGTTAATACAGAACTACCTACCCTTGATCTGGTGATCCTATCCCAAGGCCAGTGCCCCCAAACACTGAAAACATGTTCAAAGAAAACCATGTACATGTACATGTTCACAGTAGCATGATTCACAACAGCCCAAGGAGTCCTGGTGTGGCGCTGGGTGTTAATGAGCTGGACTGCAAAGTCAGTTTAAACTGCAAAGTCATCGGTTCAAGCTCACCAGCTGCTCCTTGGAAACCCTATTCAGGGTCGTGGTGGGTCGGAACCAACTCAATGGCACTTAACAATATCAACAACATGCGTTCTGTGGCGCACTCTCTGACCACACAAAGGCAGGAGATCCTGAAGCACATTACGTGAAAGGTCACAACAAGAACTCACACTGCTGTGTGATCCCATTGACCCAGAATGTCCAGATTCAGTAAAGCTGAAGACACAGAAAGCAGGTGAGTGGTTTTTAGGGACTCGGAGAGGGGAGATGGGGAGAGACGGCTCATGGGGCCCAGCTTCCCTTTGGGATGATACGAGTGTTTTGAACATTGTGCATGAATGAAATGCCCAGAATTGTTCAGTCTATAATGGTGAATCTTAGGTAATTGAAGTTTTACCTCAATTTAAAAAAAAAAAAAAAATAGAGCAAACACCAACTATGAGGAGGAGTCCTAGTGTGGCGCTGTGGGTTAATGCACCAGACTGTAAAGCCATTTGAACTGCAAGGTCGGCAGTTCAAGCTCACCAGCTGCTCCTCGGAAACCCCATACGAGGTCGCTATGGATCGGAACCGACTTGACAGCACTTCACAACAACAACAATGAAGAGTACTATCGGCAAGCACTCCCAATCTACAGATGAGGACAGAAAGGAGCACAGAGTCAGGATTGCTTCAGAGCCTTGGGGGTTCAAGTTTGCCTCTGTTGACCCTCCCCAGGAAGCATCAGGACAGAAGGAGGCTGTTCCTTAATCAATCAACAGCCGGGGAGCACTCACCATTTTTGTCAGCTCGGCGGAAGATCTGCAGAGAAGAGAGGGACTGTTAGTCCTGGACCAGGGACAGGCAGGTGCCCCCAATGGGTTTGGACTTCTGACCTGAGCCCCTACTCCATACTCCCTGTGACCTAGGGAGTTAATCCCCCTTCCCCGAAAGAAAGAGCCCAGTTGGGCTCCAGGGCCTGGGGAGGGTGGTTCAGGGCCCCCCCCCCCCCCCCGACAGCCAACACATAACTGACCACCCACCCACTCTCCCTCTGTACTAGCCACCTGCCCACCCCGTGTGGACGCATACATACACAGTCCTCACAGCTATCGTCGACGCTGCCTCCCACATGCATGTGCGCGCACACACACACACACACACACACACACACACACACACGCCAGCTGCAGAATCAGCCCAGAGACAAGGCTAACCCACACACTCATACTCGTTGGAACCCCATTTCTCCAGGGAGGTTGGGTTCATCTGACCAGAATAATTAGGGTGGGGTACAGGATGGATGAGTTTCTGGGTGGAGAGTGGGTAGCTCAGGTACTTGGATGCTCAGAATCCGGAGTGGATCATTCTGGTAACATCACGCAAGGTAAGGTAGCAACCTAATCCCCAAACCTGGGGGCTTCTGCTGGGCGTTGGGAGGCTGGACCACTGCTTCTTCCTCATCTCCCCTGGACAGAGCCAAAGCCAAGGGCGTCAGAGGAGGCTTTCCTTGCAGCAACTATGTGATTCCCCTATGTGACCATCTGGGGGGCTTTCCACCCAGGAAGAGAGCAAGTAGCCTCTGGTGGGCCCTAGGTGTCAGATGTTCAAGGCTCCCCAGCTGTGGTCATTGCTGAAACACGGGGACACCAGTGAGAACCTGCAACATTGGGCACCCCTGGGAACTCGTTAAAAATGTAGAGTCTCAGGCCAACCCGGCCCCACTGAGTGAAAACCTACTCTTTATCTTGATGCCCAGGTTCTCACATGCACACTGAAGTCTGGTCACAATCCCAGGGAAGGGGAGGCCCTAACTTCCCAGATCCAGAAAACACAGGGGCTTGGGGCTCAGTGCTGTTCCTCCCTGGGCCTAAGTGACTGCTATGCTGATATAAGCTCCTTTGACTGACAGCTCAGGTGATGCTGATGGAAGTGGGGGAGGAGCCCCATCCCTATGGCGACAGAGCATCATTATCTGGGCTGCCTCCGACTGAAGACAGAAACAACTGTGGCTAAGGCTGAAAGGGGGATACGACCCCTAACTTCCTCCATGACAGCATGGGCACCTCATACGCAGACTTCCCCCGCAGCCTAGCACGGAGTAGGCACTTAACTCTGAACAAACAAGGCCCTGGGAGAATGACAGCTGTAATGTCGGCTCTGGGGTCTACACACCTCCTTATTTCTCACACAGGCAACGGAGGCTCAGAGCCCACCACCATCAGCATCAGAGGACACAACTCAGGAGGGGTCTTGACAAGGGTCATGGTCATAAACTCTGGGGAGTCTGAGGAGGAGACTCCAACTGCTGGAGATTGTATGGTGTGTTTGTGTGTGTGCGCACACGGACGCACTTGGGGTTACAGAGACTCAAACATTTCCAGTTCTGCCGCCCCTTTCATGCCCATCTATGGTTTCCAGGAGAGAGCGAGAGAAGAAAAGGGGGTGCAATGCATACCCTCAGAAACACAACCCACAACTCTTGGAGAATCCTACCACACACACTCAACATTACTCCCATCCCCCACCAACCACACACTTCACAGGGCTCTCCCTGGAACACACACCCATGCTGTCACTGGAGTGGGGGACCCCTGATGAAGCCCCTCCACCTTCTGCAAACCCCTCGAGAGGGAAAACTCCTATCCTCAGCATCCATCCTGAAAGCTCCTCCCTCCCCCATCCTCCCAAAGGGGAAAGGGGGGGAGGGGGCCGGAGGGGAGTTTGGGCTTCCGGAGGGCACTGAAGGGGAGTGAGGGCTAGGTGGGTCTGGGGTCCTCAAAGTGAACAGGTTCTTCGTGGGGGAAGGGTAGGGTGGAGAAGGGGATGGCAGAGTAGTAGCAGGAAGCCAGTGAGGGGAAGCCCGGGGGGGGGGGGGGGGGTCCCGGCTCATGGGTAGATACGCGCCTACATTTGTGGAGAGAAAAGCTAGAAGTAGGAACAGATTTTACTTTCCAGGAGGCCGTGCAGGAGGAAAGGGTCTTTGGGATTAGACTACTGGGCTAGGGTCTGAGCCGGAGAAAAGAGGAGGGGCCGGTCAAGTTGGGGGACATCATGGTCTCAGAAAAGTCACTACTAGGATTGCAAGGGAAGGGTGGTGGTCGGAGGTTCCAGGGAAGGGACGAGATAAAAGGTGGGATGTAGGGCTGGGGAAAAGATGGGGGTTTACCTAAGACAAAATCAGGGGCCGGTCCTGGGGTCTCTGGGTAGGCACGAAAGTAGAAAAGTGGAGGCAGAGGTACAGGGAAGACAAGACTCGGGTTGAAAAGGGATCCCCGGTCTACGGAGGACAGAGGGCTGGGGAGCAGGCCCGTCCGGGGCGTGGAGGGGATGGGGCTCGAACTGTGGGGCAGGGAGGGACCGGGGGATGGTCCTGCCTGGGACGGGTCACGCGTGCCCTGCTCAGGGAGGAGTGGGCTCTGATCCCGGCGAGAAGTGATCCGTGTTCGGGACCCTTCCCCTACAAGAAGGGCGTGGGGTCCCGCCAGGAACGGGAGTCCATGTCAGGGATCCCCCGAGAGGGGAGCGAGGTCGGCTCGGGCCCAACAGGGGTTCGGGCAGGTCGGGGTGCGCGTACTCACGTCCAGGATGACGGCGGTGCCCCCGCGCGACGGGGAGGGTCCGGGCCGGGGGTCGGTGGCGGGGACGACGGGGGCATCGGGGGCCAGTGGCGCCCGGGGCTCGCCCATCCTGGCGCCCACCCAGCG